AATTTGTTTAAAACTTTACGTCTTTCTATGCTATTTTGTCTTAAAAGTTCTTTAAAAAGTGTTTCTAATCTGAATATAGGTAGAATTAACTTTGGTTTGAAGCGATACAAATATGGATCAAATTTGTGAAAATGTGCTAATGTTGCTAAATTTTTTACTAATTGATTCTTGTTTTCTGCTTTAAAAATATCATCACGCATCTTTTGATACTTTACATAAATACAATTTGTTTTTTTCATCTTGTATTTTTTATATTGTACTAAGATAAATGCTATCTCCTCTAAGAACACTTGATAGAGTGTTGGATCATGAAATTTGATTCGTCTTTGTATCGCTTCGAGATTATACTCTTCTTTCATTATTGATTTGAATTCTCTGTTTAACCATCTTGGCAGTCGTCTGGTTTGATTTTTTACCTGTTTGTTATGTATAAGCATAGAAACTTTTCTTTCTTTTGCTTGATCTCCTATTAGTTTGTAATAGAATTCCAACTTTGCGATTTTGATCAACAACCTAGGATAATCTGCATAAAGATACGGTTTGAACTGATATTGACTATATTTTAACGAAAGATCGATCACAAATTGGTCTTTGTCTTGAGCATCATCAATCTCCTTCATGATCTTTTTATATTTCTTTACCACCTTATTATCATCTTTTAACTTGTAAAAATAGCACGCTTGAAGAATCCGAATTAAAACTAATATGAATTTTGCATGCAAAGAATCATCATTAATTGAAATATATGCCTGAAAACGGAATTTGGTTTGTTCAAGATAGTCCCATGTTGCATCTTTTTTTACCATATTTTCCGTTACTTTAAAAATAAAATATTAGTATATATTTATAATAAATATACAATGGACGCAGCCGAATTCCTTGTTCTTACGTTGTAGCGAACGCGTCATTCTTCGACCCCGCAACGGGCTGTCGCGTCCATTTAAAAAAAAAATAGATGTGTGGCTTACGCCGTATTGGTAATTAATAATTATATGTAAAATGCCCTGTTTATCAGACAGTTTTTGAAATATTATACAAATTATAGTAAATATATACTTTTCAAAAAAAATGTGGGATTAAAACCGGTTAAAAAAAAGAAGCCAAAAAAAAACAGATTAAACATGTAAAGAACCAATCAGAAATCATGATGACAAAGAATAATTTGCAAGATTTGCAAAGAAAAAGTTTATTTAATGGTAAGAATTTTGACGGGAGACAACCTCCAATTCACTCTGAATTTTACAAATACAACACAACACATAACATGAAATTTTTTAAAAAACTCTT